CGCAAGGCCCAGGGGGAGGTTATAAGGAATACATGTGACACACTTAGAATAGATTCCGGCTCACATGAAAACCCTAATATTAACTTTTAGTATTATCGTTATTGTTATCACTTAAAGGCACTTGGAGGCGCAAATGAGGTTCTATCGAAGTCTACCAAAATAGAAATACAGAAAAATTTGAATTTTGCAATCTCATCAAATAACCCATTTCTTATCCAGGACAAAGACAGCATAATCAATATTTTAATGATTTTTAAAAAATTCTCCACCAAAGTAATAACGCAATTAGTTGTGGAAGCTCTGTCTTCTTAACGAGAATCTGAGAGTCTGGTTGTCTTTCTGTCATTACTGAGGGGATAGGCTATGTATCTGAAAATAAACCTCCACGTAAAAGTCCAGGCTTGGTGGCATGCTTATAATCATCACCATCATCATCATCATCATCATCATCCCTGGGGCCTGCTGGTGAGCTGGCCTAGCCTGCCTGACACGCTTCAGGCCAACAAGACATCCTGTCACATGTAGTAAAAATAAAGTGGATAGCACCTGAGAAAAAGCATCAAGGTTGCCCTCTGACTTTGACATGCAATGTGCACACATATGTAAGCATGCTCACACATGTGCACCTGCACACACACAGAGACACACAATCCAGGATTCCCACAGGCTGTGTGGCGGTGCACTGCTGCGGGGGAAGACGGAGGAAAGAGCAAGGTTTCCAGTCTTGGGTTCACTCACTCTAGGCCCCTCTGATTGGGTAATCTGCCCAATCCCATTTTATTCATATTGAGTCTCCTGTCCTGGTGGTAAGCTCTACAAGTAGTCTTTCTAGATCCCTGGGTTGATTTCCACCTCTGCCTCTACCTAGGCCAGAGACATAGAAGCTAAAACCATGTCAAAGGCTCCCGGTAACACCCAGGGATAACCACCTAACACCTATAGCTATTTCAAAAGCTTTTGGGAATGATAGATTTGTGTCTTTATTCAATCCAGTCTGTGTGTCTAGATGACGTCTATGCTTTCCCTCTTCCCTGGAGGAGCTAGCTAGAGTTCTGCCCAAGGCAGAAGCCAAGCCCCTGCCCTCCACACTTTCAGATTTGAGTCTGAAAACCCATCGCTCGCCATCTCTGAGCATCAGTTTCTGCTGTTGGGTGTGGATGGGCAGACGCACCTCACAGAACTGTGATGAGACTGAATTAAGGACATGAAGAACTCAGGACGCCAGCCACATGGGGGACAGCCAAGAATCATTTCTCAAAAACAGAATCTCCAACGTCCTCTTCGGCCGACCGCTTTGTCCATAGGACTTCACTAGTTGTGAATAGCACACACACCCCAGTTTGGGTGTTTAGATCAGTGGAAGCAAGCACAAGGCCATAGGCTCTGGGTTCAATCCTCAGAACCATCACAACACACACAAAATTAATCTGGTTAGCACTCTAAGCTAGAGGAAGAATTCCAGGGTTCGAGGAGGGCCCGGGTGAGCTGCCAGGTTGGGGTTCTGTAGGATTCCAGAGCTCTGACCACCAACTTAAAAGATACCGATGTAGAATTTCCCAGAGAGAGCCTTGTAGCTACTCTTCCCCTGTTTGCCTTTAAAACTGATCCATCCAAGGAACCATAGGATTTGTGGTTAGGGCTTAATGTGGGCAAACATCACCTTCCATGTCCCTGGCTGGATTCTCACCACGCACCAAGAACGACGCAAATCTTCCATGTTGAAGGGGTCCTACTAGGACCCAACGTATTACCAGTCTGTTTATTTTATCACAAGAGGACTCTCCCTGGAGTGAGGGCCAGCCTCTCTCCACTTGCACTGCTAGATTGTACTCCTGAGCCTGCCCTGGAGAGACACCTAAGGTGATCGAAAGGGCTGTGCCGCTCCTCTCAGAACAGGCCCCTCTCTACCTGGCAATGAGACACCTGCATCCTGGAGCAACAGTATCCCACAGCCTGCAGCTGAGTGCTCTCGGGGAATTAGCCAGGACCGGACAATAATCCAGTCATCTGAGAAGCAGGGCTTCTCCTATGGCAACCATGAGATTCTTAAAAATAAAATGCAAGACACGACGTCCCATGTCACGACTTCGGGAATGCTTGCTGAACTGTTGGAATAACTTTGCCTTCTTGGGTGACATCTCTGTGAGAGCAGGGGACTAGGGCTCTATTGTCTTTGCATCCCAAGCACCGATCCTACAAACTGTATAAGAAACAACTGCTTACTACATACCCAAGTGGACTTCATTTCGATGCTATCTAGCGATGTCTCAAAACTCCAAACTAGGAATGGGCTTCTTGGCGCTCAAGAGGCTGAGGGGGGAGGATACCAAGTTCAAGGCCAGAATGGGCTACTGAGTGAGGCCTTAACTTTACCCCTTTTCAAATTGTATAAATACATATATTTAAAACCCTGTGATAGAGGTACAAATGAGAACAACTGGAAGTCAACTGTAAAGGAGGTTGGTAAAGTTAGAGCGGTTTCAAATGTAATGTAGTTCATAAAGCTTGCTTTGTTGTACCCTGCTAGGAGCGTGGACCCAGCTGCTGAGACTTACCCTTGCGATTATGGAAAGTCTACTCAAGGCACTTTTGCGTTTGGGTTTAAATGGTTAACAAGTGTACAACACTTACAATAGTGCCTGGCTCATAGTTAATTCTTAAAAAAACTATTAGCATTTTCTGTCATCAGACACTGGCCAGGATAGTACTCTAGGGTACCGAAATTAACCAAGAGCTCACTGCTTTCCCCAGACAAGTATTAGCAGATGTAAGATGCCTATGTAATTCACCTCCTGAACAGTAAAACTTGTCCTCAGAGCTTGAGATGTCTTCTAAAAGCCAGAGAAAAATTCTGAACATAACCCTACTGCCCTGCAAAGTGTTTACTAGAATGTCCCTTTAAAGCAAAAACAAATATCTACCAAACTCTAAGTATATGCCAGAAAGAACTAAGCCACCAGCCTCACTAACATCTCCCTTAAACAAGTAAACAAACAAACGGATAGCAGAGATCATCTTTTACCTTCTCTTTGGGCCGGACGGTGGTTCTAGGGCTGCGAGAGCTAGGCCACTTTCGTGGGATAAGAGCCCATGAGTCTAACAGGGCTTCAGATGACTGCTGTCCCTGTTAAAAATAATCACTGAGAAACAAAAAGCAGAAGTATGCACAGAATTGCTTCATTCACGCCCGCACCCCCTCCCGCCCCGCCGTCATGGGTGCTTTTCCTGTTTCTCACACCACCAGCCTTCCAGTTCAGCAATTCCCAAGTGGGTGCCCTGATGACCGCTGGTCCCCGAGATCCGTGGCGGTGCAGTGTGCATCAGCCAAGTGATTGTGGGAAACACCATGCTTCCGGCAAGAAAAGACACAACATCTACTCACATGTAAGCCTTCCAGGCTTTCCTTAAAAACCCATTTACTTGTGTTTACTCCAGGTTTGCAAGCCCAGACAACCACCCACAGCTAGAGTGTTGTTAGTACCTTGCCCAGACACTTCTACATAAAATACACACACACACACACACACACACACACACACACACACGCAAAAGCAGAGACGGCCAGGGACTAAGAAAAGTTTCCCCTGAATTTTTTTAAAATAGTTATTTTCTTCACCAAACGAAGCAGGGGGAAGTCAAGTCTACGAAAACAGAATAGAGGCAAGTCAGTCAACATTCTAGCAAGGAGGGAGGAGCTCACAAGCCCCCACCTCTAACTATGGAGCTATTGGTTTCCAGCACCTGATAGTATCTGAGGAAAGAGGAATCCATTTTCTTCAAGGATGTGACCACTGTTAGGTCAACCACACTCCAGTGGATGGCCCTACGTGCCTGCGTGTATGGGCAACGCAAACTGACTTGACGCAGGGGGGTGAGCTGAAGAAATAAAATAAAAAGGAAAGAAGGCCGAAGCTGGGAGGGGCTAGGAAGGTGAAGGTTGAATCTGGGAGGAGTCTCACAGGACCAAAAATATGGCATTAAAACTGATCCCGGGAATCCTCCTTTGGGCACTGGGGCAGGAGTTAGCGCTTTTAATAGTTGTTAATATTAAGCACTGGTAAGTGCTGCAAGAATTTTTAACTCAGCTGGGTTTTGGCATTTCTGCGGGACAGAGGCCGAGGCGGGACTGACTTAAAGACTGGGCTAAGCAGTGCGTTCTAAGCCAGCCAGGAATGAGGCCCGAACAAACAACAGCACCGGAAGCGGTAGTTCTGTGTTGAGCTTTTCCAAGCGCTGACCGTAAACACACCATGAATGTGTTCTGTGAGTGATTCAAACAGGCGCGCGAGCCATTTGACAAGCCCTTCCTGGCATCCTTGAGCGCGACTCTGTCAGCTGGGCGGTCCCTTTCCTAGTAACCGGCTGCACGGCCCTCCTGACAGCCCAGATGCCCTTATCCCACCAAAGAATCTCCAGCCACTGTACGATGCCTCGCTACCTACAGCGGATGGCATTCCCCAATCATGACCGCTCCAGACATTGTTGGCTGGCCTTAGAAAGCAGCTCTCAGGGGACCACAAGCCTGGTGAACTCTACGTGACCTTACAGCCTTTTGTTACCCAGGCCAGAAGAGGAGCACTTCCTCTCAGGGCCTGTGACTGGCAGGGTCACAACCACGCATGATCGGTACAAATACAACCCGTTTCTTGTTTTAAAGATTTCACCAATGTATGTTTTTGTTTACAGGAGTGTGCCATGTGAAGGCGATGCCCGCAGAGGCAAGAGGAGGGCAGAGGATCCCCTGGAGTTGGAGTTAGATACGAGGGATGACTGTTATCCAACCATGCTGCCCCCTGATGTTACAGGATCAAGCCCCCATAAAAGACTTCTCCGGGTGGTCTCACCTAAGTGGCTAACACGAAGAGCTGGTGGAAATGATGGGAGCCTCGGCAGCGGGGGAGCCACCAAGCGACACTCAACAGTAAGAAGACAGCTGGAAAATTCCGGAGGACTGGGGTTGGGAGCAGAGTGACCAAGAGAGGTAGGGTTCTGAGACCCTGAAGAGCCGAAGGTCTTCGTCACCAGAAAGTTGCCTGGGGCTGCCAAGTCTCATGGACCAAGGGACCTGACAGTCTAGGCCCCAGCTGGAGACCCACCCAGGAGCTTTAACAGCAACAGGCAGATGTCACCCACCACTGATGCACGCTGAGGACTGACTATAGCAGCTGGCAAGGGCTGTTGCTCCGAGCAGTGAATTTACATCATGAGTACCTAGTAACTTCTAAACCCTAGAGCCATGGATCCCCAGGTCTGGGTACCTAGTCTACCCTTTGTGTAATCAGGGTTCTGGAACTGCCAACGTGACCAGAGCTCCCTCCCAGTTCCTCCGGATGTCTACCCAGCAGATGGAAGGGACAGACCCCACCCAGCTGAATGGAAACACTACTTGCTCAGCCGTCTTTACAGGTCCTGCTGAGATGGCCAAAGGTGAGCCTCATTCCCATTCCACCCAAGGAAGAACTTGAGATCAAATGGTTGACACATGGAGTGGCCACTACGCGGGCACGGGGTTTCATATGCAACCTCAGCAACAGTCCTCGAAGAGGTGTGTCCTGGAACTTGCTTTGTAGACCAGGCTGGCCTCGAACTCACAGAGACCCACCTGCCTCTGCCCCCCAAGCACTGGGATTAAAGGCATTTGTCACCACTGCCTGGCATGTTACCTTTCCTTGCAGAGTGGAGTTTCCAGAGCTTTCAAAACTAGAACAAGCCACAGAGTAACTGGAACCACAATGTGAACTCAGATCCATCTTCAAAGCCTGAACAAACAGTTCAGAATTTACCTTCCGGATGCAGCCGACAGCCATGTTTTTTTAGCATCTAGTGTACACAGACGTGCCCATGCAGGTGGGGGAAGGGATACAAAGGTAAATAAGGAAGTCTGAACCTCAGAATTGGGCGAGCTTATGAGCCCTTAATAACAGAGATTTTAATCACTCAATTACTCAAGCTAGCGCCCCTTGTGGATTACAGCAACTAACTAGCTCAGAATAAAAAATGGGCTAATAATTTTAGCACTTCACAAACTTACAGAACCAGAAACAAGTTACAGTAGGAAAAATAAAAACAGATTTCAACAAAATTTAAAGCTTTGGTGTAAAGGACCCTACAATGGTTGATCTCCATGGCCGACTCAATTGGACTAAGGGACACCTAGGCATTAATTAGTGAGGCGTATCTCTGGGTGTGTACATCTTTGGGCGTGTTTCCAGAGAGGATTGACTGAGGGGCGGGACCCACCTTGGACCATCCTAAGGACTGAGGCCCTGGATTGAATACAGAGCAGGAAGTAGAGAGCAAGGGGGGCACCATGTGGGTAACCCCCCCCATTCAGACTTCCTTATCTGCCAGGATATGAGCAGGTAGCCTCCCACAACTGCCCACACCTTCCAAGCCATGATGTTTTTGCCCCGGATCCAAAGCCAAAGCCAACTTCTCCTCCCTTATGCAGCTTCCGGTCAGGTGCTTGGTCACGGCAGAGAGAAAGGTTGCTAATCCGGATATCACACGGTGTCGAGCAAGGTCACTAATAAAGATATCATCAACTAAGTGAAACTGTCACTAAGTGAAACGCTGGCTAAGATGAAATTTTTGCCAATCACATAGCTAACAAAGGACTTGTCTGTATATTTAAAATCTCCAGTATCTCAACAATGAAAAGACTACGAATGCATGTTGTCATAGGGGTACACGCTCATTACTCGCGGGTCTATACCTAGTAGCAGAATGCAGAGACATGTAGCAAGTATAGATTTGGCATTTGAGGAAGAACCATGCTCTTTTCCACAGTGTGTGTACTAATTTACATCCCCGTCCACCGCCCACTGGGGTCCCCATTTCCTTCCATCCCGCTCAGTACTTGTTCCTGTCTCTTCTTATGTCGCCTGCTCATGTGGTTCGGTTTGTAATTTTTCTCATCTCTGGTAAGGCTCATCTTATTTCCACGTTTATTTATCCACTACTTGTCTTTGGAGAAACACCTACCCGGTTCCTTGGTTGTTTCTAGTAGGCTACAGTAGCCACTCATGCCTTCCTGATATAAGTTCTTCGGGACTTACATCATTATGTAATAATTTCTTCTATTTTGACTCTAGGGGTGGTTGAGGACCCTGGCTCTATGAAGAAGACCTTAATGATTTGAAAATGTCCAGAGTGGGAAAGAAATGTTAGGATTAAAGAAATTAGATGCAGTGCAGCAGATATATATATATATATATATATATATATATATATATATTGCCCTGACTAGCCTGGAACTCACTCTGGAGACCAGGCTGTTTTCAAACTTACAGACCTCTTCCTGTCTTCTCCCAAGTGCTATGTTCTGGGCTATTTGATAACACTCTGAAACTCCACGACTGTATTAACAAAATTAACCTTGGATTGGGGCAGTGCCAGCAGTAAGTTGACAAAAGTTAGCCATAGACAGGATGGAGGAGACAGGGAGACCATTGGAGAGATGCACAGGAAGGAGTAGGGAGGGGCTTAGAGATTCGCTGTCTTTTTGGTTGGGGACAAGTGGGAAGAGGCTTCTCTTGCTGGGTCTCCAGCCAAAAAGGAAGGTTGTTGCTTCTTGGCCTCTCTGACCTAGCAGGTTTCCACCCCAACATCCGACTCCTGAGTCTTTTTCGGTAAAAAGGATGATAGAGACTTAAAACCTATTTGGTGGCGGCAGCAGAGCCTACGGGACTGAAAAGTTACCCGGGATGCAGACTCAGCAGCGGGACACAGATAGCAGTTAAAATATCGGTAGATTCAGGCGCAGTGCTAAGCCCACCGAAAAACAAAAGTGCTGGGACCAAAAGTACAAATCACCACACCAAGCAAAATAGCTTCTTTTAATAAAAAAAAATTATTTCCACTTTCTTTCTTCGCCTATTTTGTTTTTAGTCCTTGCCACGTCCCCCAATGAATCTATGTACTTTTGTAATCATCACTATAGAAGCACATTGGAAAACCTGAAATGAGCCGCAAACTCTCAGAAATGAACAACAATGACCTATGTTGTCCTGGGACCAGAGGGACAGGGAGGAGACAGGTAAGTCGAGCACTACCGGTAGCTCGGTGGTCAAGGGTTAGTCATGTGAGAGGCCCAAGTTCAATTCTCAGCATGGGAGTAGGAACCTGGGGGCTAAGGAGGTGATTTAG